TATTTAATTACTCAATTCCACACAACCACAAATACGATATTAACCGATGAACGTTTTACATTTTTTCTTAAATTAAAATATTTCAATACGTTGAATCACGATAAGAATGGGGATTTACGAAATGAACATGGATTATATGAAAGTTTTACATAGATTTTTTATACGACTTACCAGTAATATATAAAAAGTGCATACAATTAATCCTCTCAATCCAGAAACGGCTAACCATATAGGTATCATTGGTTTAGTCGGGCAAGTGTTGATGTCTTTAAAGGCAATACATAACTTTATAATCGGCAAAGGAACACATAAAAGTAAAATAAGAAGAAAAGATGCCGCTCTTAAATTTTCTTCGATATTGATAATAAGTCGATCGTAAAATGAAAAATCTTCATCATCTTTGGGAACAATATTTTCAGCTTCTATATCGGTCATTGTTATTGAATTGTTTAAAGTTTTCATCGCTAAAGAATGAGAAGAAAATATGAATGCTTTTCGGCCTCTGTAATGTTTTTCAATTTTACATTTTGTTTGCGGAAACCTATTCAGTGACTGTTCGAAAAAAATTATAAGAGCACGTGTCATTTCATCTTTATAAGAGTAAAAATAATTTTCATGTCGTACATTCTCAGTTTGTTTATTTTCTACTTCTGTTACAGTTTTCATTAATTAAATATGGGTAACTGCAACTTTAAACTGTAAGTATACGTGAATGAAGATCGCAAATTAAGACAAATATGTAGTTTATTATTTCAAAGTTGATGGGAAAATACAGTGACAGAAAATGAAAAGAGGCTAGAAAAATATTGTTAACAATATCTATTTATCTTTTTTTAGGTTAGAAAACAGTATACCTTTGGAGAAAAAATATTGCACTCACGAAGGAGAAGATGAGAAGATTACAAAAATACAAGTAGCATGTTTTACTGGTGATTTTGATACCATAATTGATTTATTGCCACAGTTATGTGAAACAGTTGTTGCGCGAAATAGGGACGATTTGGTTCAATTAGCTTATAGAAGTGGAGATTGTAATATAGTAAGATTAATCAGAGAATATCAAAATTCTTTCTGGAAAGATAATCAACTTCAAGGCGATTATGAAAATGCTAATCCACAAACGTCTGTTGATCGTGCAGATATCGCGACATATATGAGGTTCATTAGTACAGCACCTTTCTTTATTCGACCATTAATTCGTCTTACCATCGAACAACAATGTCTCAATCATTTTGATCAAATTGTTGAACTTACTATACAGAATCGCGGTGATACTTCCTGCACAGACCTCATAGATTTATGGGCAACATTCAGAAGAAAGATATGCATCAAATCCTTGCTACGTATTTATACCTTAGCACAACCACCAATGTCTACTATTATACAAAATAAATCAAGTGGTTACGCGACTTTGGTATATGTGAATTTACATAATATCGAATGTCGACAACGAGCATTTAATGGAATATCATATCGTGGTGAATTCATTTCAGTCAAAGATCTAGTTACATATAGTGGAGCAAAAGGAAAAGAAGCACTTGTCGAAATCAAAAACTTTTATTCAACATCAAAATTAGAAGATGTAGCATTATCATTTGGTGGATATTCAGATGAAAATAATTACAAATTTCCTGCTCTCTATGTTTTCGATTTCAGAGGTGAAGCATGTTCAACTGCTATTGACTTAGTAAAAGAACCTGTGATATCAAAATTCCCAGACGAAGAGGAAGTACTTCTGCTGCCATACACAATGTTTCGAGTTGTCGATGTACATAAAGCTGGATATACAGATAATTATGGTTGTAATCGCTGGATTATTAATCTTAAGAATATCATTGTTCCTAAACGAAATTTTATGTCATTTATATGGGAACGTACAGATCTCAAGAATAAGCCAGAAATATTTTGTACACTCAACTAAAATATGAACAAAGAATCTAAAAGACAGTATTATAGCGAAGATAATCAGGAAGAACCTTTGTCGCAAATAAAATATCACGATTGGTATAAATTTAGCTATATTTTGGCATATAAAAAGAACTTTTGTTGAAATTTTTCCTGTAAGATTTTTATTATTTTTCAAACGAAATTGATTATTAACTTAAGAAAAAGTATTGGAATAGATCCTTTCATTATTGATTCACTGTTAACTAAGATTTTGTAATAATAAAAATAAATACTTATCTAAATAGTAATATTCTATATATAAACTAGATAGAACTATAACGTATAATTCAATATCGAAGGGCATAATTTTGTGATGTATCGAATGAGTATTGTAAAACTGTTCTTTCCAACTTATAACAAACCCAAAACCGGCGTCATGTTGAAGTATAAATGTCAACGTAAGTTTGTTTTTCAGAACATGAATGTACATCACGAATGCATACGATACTAATGTTGTTGTCCATATACTAACAGCAGAATCATCATCCTAAAAAAGTATTTCGTAATTATTTTTTGTTCAAGGCAGGAATCAATAAGAGAAATTCACGTTGGAAAAAACCAGATGGAAGTATATGATGCATTATAGCGTTTTCTAGAAAATCGTATGTATTTCAAATATGAGATAAGTTTCCAAAAACTCTTCGTAGTTGAAGTACCCAGATCGCAAAATCTGATGTAAGATTATGTCAACTAGATGAAATCTTGAGGGAATCTGACACAAAATCATCGTCTCTGAACTCTTACATTAAGTCATATCATAAGATCTTACACCCACTTTATTTTCATTACAAACTTATTGTGATATTTTTAGGTCATATTAGTTTAACTAAAATATTGCCGCGGCTTTCCACGATGCAACAATATTTTGTACGAATCTTTTAATATGACTGAGTGTAGGATATCAGAGACGATGATTTTCTGTAAAATTTGCCATAAATCGTGTCAGATCACATATGATCAGATAAGAATTAGAGACTGATCTTGACCTATGATTTCGCACCCTGAATAGTTATTGGAAAATCCCATACATGTAATTTCGATTGTGAGTGTCGCGAAGAGTGATGAGATTTATGTATTCTTGCACACTTAAAACAAGTAACGTTCGTCGTGCCGACTCACTTCACCCTTGACTGTGGAACACAGATACTTTCTGCGTGTGCTATTAGTGGGACAAATCGATCTAGCAACTTGATATACGATGAAGCGAGTAAAATGTCTGTGTGCCACTATTTATTAACTTTCGAAAGCAAAATAGCTAATTTTTTGTAAAATTGGTGTGAGCAGAAAGCGTATTTTTTATTCAGAGGTCATAACATTATGTCATAAATACTAGCAGCCACGAGCAAAATTTGGCAAAACCGAAAAAGATTGTTAGAAATGTTGAGCAAAGCGCAGCTGTTGTTATGGCCTATATGGCCGGGACATCTATTTACTTCATGTTTAAGTCTTTCGTGTTTTCCTTTTCTTTGTTCTTATTGCTATATATGTTGTTACATTCAATAAAAACAGTTAGTTATGCTTCGATAGTAACATCAAACACAGGTCTCTTTCTTTCCATCATCGAACATAACAGTGGTGACAGCGGTCTATACAAGAAGGAAAAGAAATTTTCTTCTTTTTTCATCCATCGACGAACGTACAACAAAGGAGGAATCCTTTTTCACTAGAAGTTGATTCTGTATTCGGCATTCAACAAACCGATTTAAATTGCAATCATGATTAATAACGAAACACCCTCAAACCCAATCACCGATCCGAAAACGATAGAAACGCCAGTTGTTACTCGACAGGTGCAAAGACCACACATGTCTGACGAATCAATACATCGTCATGTCCGAATGTTAATGGAAGGAGACCGAATGGGAGCGGACGAACTGTTTACAGCACTGAACAAATTTTATGACGAACAACGTTATTCATCGTCAGAGCGTATTCGGTGTACACAAATGTTTT